TCTTGGTTTGGGCATAGTATGCAGCAATGGTGACATCTATATCTAAGAGTTGCCCAACTAACAGGAGGTAACGACCCTCTGGGTCTTTAATTTCGGTGCCTAGTGTGAAGGGTGTTGTGCGATGAAAGGCTATCAGTACCCCCCTGCGTTTGGTGGCGGCAGAGGCTGTATAGACCTGAGGATATCGGGGGCCAAAAAACTTAGGAGTGGAGTTGGGAGTGAAGTGTGTTTCCTGTAGACAAACCACGTGAGCTTTAAGTGTAGCAAAGGTTCGGAAGGTCTTAGTACGTTTCTGTGGAATATTGAGGCCCTGCACGTTCAGGGTAAGGATATTTAACGAACCCATGAGGAAAGCGCATAATGATTAGGATAGTCTGTCACTACCTCCCAAGGTGGAGCCTGATGGGGGATGAGGGCATTGTGGAGTGCGTTGTGCAGAGTCTTGAAGTCATGTTGGAGGGAGGGAGGGAGGAGGGGTACGATACGGGAGAGGAAACAGGAAAGAAGGAGTGTAAGAGGCCATTTAAGGCTTAAAAGATGGTTCCCAAGGACACCCTGAGTCAGGGAGGGCTAGGGAACAATAGTAGCCCAAGCGTTATTAAATAACCAATAACACAGGGGCTAGGTTGGAGTGTGCTGGTACACGGTCCGTGAGGATGAGAGCAACTTGATTGATAAAAGGTGGCGAGGTCCCGGTAGAAAAAAAAACAGGTACATAAAGAAAATACATTCATGAAGATCACGCTATCCCAAACTCAGACGGCATAAGCAGTATCAGTGAGACATCACAGGGGAAGGGGTGTGGCGTCGCATGCCGTCAGAGCTTAGGCTCTCAAACAAACTAACCTAAAGTGGGGCCCCAAGTGGGGGGGAGCCGAACAATTCCCAGGTAATGGGGCAACCAAAATTTAACAGGTAGAGGGAGAGAGGATATCAACGGTATTAATCTCAATAACAGTAATGACAGTCAAAGGAGTACACCGTTTGGTGTATATGGCCACAATAAAGTGGAGAGAAGAAGGATAAACATGAGACACCGTTCAGTCCATGGTATCTTGTGTAGATAGACCCGGAGATGAAAAACGGCCTCGTTTGTGGAGGTTGAGTGGGCCTTCAGTGGCACGTGTGGGAAGGGACTTCCGCTAAGAGCAGGATGTGGACCTCCGCTTGGCGCTTTCTGAAGGTGTCGCTGAGGAATGCAGTTGTAAGATCCGCAGGGTGTCTAATAGGTCTTCTGGAGTCTTACAGGTGTAATCCCAGGATTGATATCTGAATCGCACTGCAAAGGGGAAGCTCCACCTATATGGTATAGCGTGTTGTTGGAGCACTTGTAGGTGAGGTTTCATAGCCCTGCGCTTGGTGATTGTTGTGGGGCATAGATCCTGGAATAGCTGGTATGAATGACCTTGGAACTGTAGAGATTCTGCGTTACGGGCGGCTTGTAGGAGTTGCTCCTTGGTGCGGAAAAAGTGGAGCTTGGCTATAATGTCACGTGGTGGACCATCCGTGCGTCGCAATGCTAACGCCCTGTGAACTCTATCCAATTCTAATCTTTCGATTGGGATAGCTGGGGCAAGCTCTTGGAACAGAGCTGTTACTGTTGATTGGAGATCGACGATCGTTTCTGGGAGGCCACGAATACGCAGATTGGAGCGTCGTGCCCTGTTTTCAAAGTCCTCCAGTCGTGTTAATAGTGTTGCGTTTTCGTCACGCAGAAGGTCAAGGTCATCCGTATGTGTCTGAAGCGTGGCATCAAGACCATCTACTCTCTGCTCTAGGTCCGCAGTGCGTTGCCCTAGTTCACGGATTTCCCTAGAAAGTGTAGCAGTGATGCGGTCCGAGGTTTGCTTCAAAGCTTTGTGTAGCATTATTTCAAAGCGGGTCAGCAGGTCTGGGGGTGTAAGGTCAGGCGTCAGGGCTTGTGCAGGGACAGCAGTTTCAGTGTCAGACTCACCCTCAGACGTGCAGGGATGGCTGGGCTGCGGATCCTGTAGGGCTGCATATGTATTTGTCACCTTCTTGCTTCCATGTGCTGAGGCGGTGGCCATCTTTGTGGAGGCCTTTGCCAGGGCCTCCTTGATTGACTTGGTAGAAGGGGGGACCTGGTGCCGGGGTGCCCCCTTAACCATTTTGCTGCTCGTCAGTCAGGGGGGGGGGGCTGTTATAGTATTCTCAGCCCCCCTTTTCTTACTCTCTGCTGCCCAGGTTCAGTGCGGTGGGCGGGCCTGTGCGGAGCTCGCCGCAGGGATACATGTCCTGTCGGATATCTCCGACCCGCTGCAGGAGATCCGCCGCAGACCAGGGCGGATCGGACCCTGGGATGGTTGACGCTGTGTTCGGGTCCCCCTGGGGTATATTGCGGGCCGGGACCCGCTGCTTGGCGGCGCTGTCACCCGACGGGGAGACGGAGCCTCAACGGGACATGTCCATCCCGCTGGCCGCGCATGCGCACTCCCCCCATTTTATATTTTTATTGAAATCTTGCCTATGCTGCAGGATATAAAACTACAAACCCAAATCAAGTCTATACTGTAGTCACTCCATAAATACGTAAAACTAACATTTCAACCTTGCACCCAAGGTACAGTTATCCAGGAACAAAATGTCCAATTCCAGACACTTGTAACCGACAACCACTTGTGACCTATGTCCAGCTTTAGGAGATGATGCTTCACCATTTTTATGATTTATCTTTAAGGCTTTATATAGTGTCATTATCTTTTGTGGCACCATACAAGCATTACAAACAAGAGTAAATAATGAAGGTACATAGAAACACACTGGAAAACAGGTATAAACAATGGCACCGCAAGATCCATGCAACAAAAATGAGCCCGTCCTGTTCGTAAAAGCTGGCATTCTAGCGGAACTGTCCAAACAAGAGGTGAGAGAACTGTACAAAAGATACGAGCGTGTGACTTGCTGGAAGCCACAGACGAGGAAGCGGAGACAGATTATCTTTGGACTGTGAAGCAGATCTCTGGTAATGCCAAATGCCCCAGAAATAGTAGACCATGGTTGGAGGTTTAAAGGGGTTTTTTTTGTTTTTCTTGCAAATTTCCAAAACACAACACCCCCCCCCATGTTGATTATTAAATCCATAACCTGTTTAAGACTTTTCACTTTATTTTTTTCCTGTAGGCTTCCTGTAACACTAAACCCTCCCAATTCTAAGAAATAAACCTTTTCCGTAAAGATATTGTAAAGGGTTGACTTGATTTTTAAAATAAACATGTCAAACTTACCTACTCTGTGCAATGGTTTAGCACAGAGCAGCCCCAATCCTCCTCTTCTGGGGTCCACCGCCATCACTCTGGGCTCCACCCCCCTGCCGAGTGCCCCCTTATCAAGCTGCTTGCTTCAGGGGTTCTTGAGTGGGCTCGATTCAAAGCCGCACGCTTTGTGTCCATCGACAAAAAGAATAGCTGAGCCCTACCTCCAGCTCTCTGCTCACTGGCTGTGATTTTGTGTGTCCTATGGATCAATAAATACACACTATGTTCATCTATCCTCCGGTGTACGGCTGACCCTTCTTCCTATTGCATCGTTTATGGTGGCGAGCCAGAGCCTGCACGTGTTGTGGATTGATCTGGATTGTTTGCCTGAGCGGTATACCTTTGTTCTTCGGACAGACAATGGCTGTGATTGACAGCAGCGGAAGTCAATGGCTTCCTGCTGCTGTCTCTGAGCCAATCAGGAGGAAAGGAGCAGACACAGATGCTGCTCTCATGCACAGCACTGGATCAAGGTCAGGCTCAAGTAAAAGGGGGGCTGAGGAAGCTGCACAAAACATTATTTTACCTTAATGCAGAGAATGCCTTTAGAACCACTTTAAAATGGACCTTTAATTAACTTGACAAGTCCACTGACATAAATTCCTGGCATGCCACTCTATACACCAATAGTGACATTTTTCAAAGAAAAGCTACACTTTGTTTTTTTATTTAGAAAGCCATACATTTGCTCTAGTAAGTGACTCATTCTAGGCTGAGATAGTCCTATCAATTCTCTGTCGGCAGAGGGATGCATTACTCTTCTCCAAAGTGGTCAGATAGCAACCGTCTAAGATTTTAGCAATCACAAGGCGAGTGGTTTCAGAAGGGACAGATCTGCATCAGACATTTGTAACACATAGCGAAGAACAGCACATGCACCAAAATTAATATTGCTGACCAGTGTTACAGTGTGGGAAGTAGATGATGACCCTAGACCAGGGGTGTCAAACTGGCGGCCCTCCACCTGTTGCGAAACTACAACTCCCATCATGCCTCTGCCTTTGGGAGTCATGCTTGTAACTGTCAATTTTGCAATCCCTCATGTCCCTGGAGGGCCGCCAGTTTGACACCCCTGACCTAGATGATGACTGAACACATAGCGCTGTCCTTCTTGACAGACAATCAGATAAATCATAATCATCAGACGGAGTACTGTGATTGATATGAGAGGTAATAAATACCTAGAGTGGTACTCTTCCACATTACTTAGCTTGCTATGCTTATGAAAAATATATCTGAGGATAGGATTTAAACAACCTTGACACAGACCAAGACCAGAGGAGCGAGGTGCAAAGCTTGTCAAGGGGGACTGTACAGCAGACTGCAGACATTTACAAACAGCAGAATGACCATGCACTTACAAAACACACAGTGAGAACACAGATACGCCATGCACTCATCTCAGGAGTAACAATGTCATGCACTGCTGACAATAGAGCAATGGTATTTGTCAAAGAATCCATGCTAAGTGCATTTTCCCTGAGGCTCTCTACATCAGGTTTCTAATCAAGTCTTTAGCTGGAAAACATGTAGCATGGCACAGGTCAATCGAAGATTAGTGTGTATTCTCATGACAGATCCAAAGAGAAACATTTCAAAACAATCGAAAATATGTTCACCAGCAAAGAAGGTGCATAGCCTGGGGATAATGAGCTAAAAATACAAGTGTGGTAAATATAAAAATATCTCACATTCTTCATGAACAAGGTTGTTGAGTAGTCTCACCTTGGAGTTAAAAAACCTTTTAATTATCTCCTCTCCTGTCTCTTTCCTCTTCTCATCTGGGGACACTTCATAGTTTGCCTGTGATGGGAACCCAAGACAAGAGATTGGTGAACAAGGTCTTCATACATTGATGGCTCAGAAAGTCAAACTGGTGGTTACTGGGGTGCACACCTGTGACCTAGATTCAGCCAACAGAGAGCTAAAGCCCGCTGTTAGCTGACAACACAGATCTGGTCCAGGCTTTGCAGAGATCCCGAAAAGAATGTTGTGATCCACTCAGATGCCTGACTAGCAGCCTCTCTGCATGCCTCTGAGAGGCTGAGCTAGCCGCTCCCACCCCCTCCACAGCCCGGCGCTCCAGTGATCACTGGAGGGGCAGGGCAGAGAGTGGTGACTGACCGTCACCAGCTCTCTGCTCACTAAAGACCAAGAACTGAGTAATCAACAGTCTTTAATCCCTCAGTTCTCAGTGTAGAGTGGGCAGGGGACAGATGTAGCTCCGATCGATGCTGCAGCCATCTAAGTGTGTGCGTTTGTTTTTTTTAGGATCCCATACTTCTCTTAACTGTAGGGGAGGCAGCACAGAAGTACAGTGATGCTTGTCTATATTCAAATGAGTAGAGAGGGGAAACAAGAAGCTTCAATAATCAATAGTGGGGCAGTGCTGCCAACTGTCCATGTTTTTATTGACAGCCAGTAAAAAACCAGGCACTTTTCTTCTGCCTGTAAAAGCAGAAAAGTGCCAGTGAAATATGGATGTGACCACTCATCTCGAAACTGCGCATGCACAGTTCCAGAATCCAGAGCGGCCCGAATCCATCCAAATTTGAGTGTCCCGACACCGGGAGTGGGTGGGTTATGGCAGAGGCTGTGCAAGGCAAGCGTGATGACGTCATGGGCATTTACTGCCGCACCGCCAGCCAGGAGCTAAGCGGCCAGAGTGGAGCCAGAGCCTTGTGTGTGAGTGTGACTGACACGTATGACTCATTGTTTCAAGTTTTTGAGCATTCAAGAAGACATGGCACTATTTATTTAGACCTATTGTTAAATGTTTAAGATGGTGACAGAGACTGATAAATGAAGGGAGGGAGAGACAGAATAACAAAGGGATGAAAGTGATGGAGAAAAGAAAGGGTGGAGGGTTATAGGGAACAGAGATTGTTGGATGGACAGTCAGTGGAATGGAGCAAGGGGGAGAAAAATTAAGTAAGGGAGGGATGGATGCAGCAAGAGAAAGATAGATGGTATGATGGAGTGGATAGAGTAACAGAGGGATGAAAGTGATAGAGGATGAAGAGGTTGGAGGGAGCGACAACAGAAGGATGTTTGAATGGACAGTATAATGGAGAGATGGAGGTTGAAAGTAATGAAGGGGATGGGGGTGATAAAGAGAGGAGGTGATGGAGGGATGGAGTTTTGGATGGAACGGATGAATGAATGATCTGAGAGAATGATGGAGCAATAATGGACAGAAGGATAGTGGGGTGGATTGATAGCTGGATAAATATACCAGGGAAGTGATGGGGGGATGAAATGATGGAGACAGGAGGTGATGGAGAGAAGGAGACAAAAAGGTAAAAAAGGGATGGAGTGATAGAGACTGGAGGTCTTTAGAGTCCTTAGAATTAGGGACAAATTCTGGTGATCCTGGCGGCTACCAGAAATTTCCCCTCATTTTCTGTGATAGCTATAGAACAGAAATTAAGGGGAAATCTATCCAGTTGGATATAGGTGACAAAAACCAATGGGTTATAACAACCTACCCTTACTATATAAAAAAAGAACATATAAAATATGTTTTTACCTTAATATCTACCCTAAATCACATTGCTAATAGCATATTGTACTTGTTTGCAGCTTAAATACTGAAATTTGCACTTATAAAACTGTAGTTGTGTAACTTTTGGAAAATGCCAGTAAAAACATGGCTGTGCCAGTAAAATGTGGGTGTCATGTCAGTGAATTTCAATCTGGTAGGATAGCAACACTGTTGTGGGGTCATCATCAGTATGCACTGTGGAATGGCTATGAGAACACATTTCAAACTCACAACCAAATTCTGTATATTTTAAATATTTTTGATAATCAGGATGTTAAAGGAAAATATTCACATATCAGTCATATACCTGAAATAAAATATAAAAAATCCTTTACTGGCCACATGTGCCTAAAACCCAATGCCCAGGCTAATGAGATATAAGGCTTTTGGAATATTGCCCCATTGGTCATCAGTATTGATGAGCTTCAACGTGTTTGGACTAGGATCCGAATCCACACGTGCGAGCCTGCCAAGAAGCTGTAATCTGTACTGACCAATCACTTTTGCCGGGGCATTGCCTGCTCCACAACTGAAAGTACAAGGAGTGGCTGTGGTGTGGTGAATGCCACGGGTGCCCACTGGCGGGCTTGGACACGTGGGTTTAGATCCTAGTCCAAACACGGCAAAGCTCATCACTGGTCATCAGATGCAAAGCCCTGTCTCTACCAAGATGGCTGTCTATGCACATTGCAGAACAAGGCATGGTAAGTCAGCAATGAGGAAAAGATTAGTTGCAGGGAGCCCAGAGGCAATACTAGTGACTAGTCCTTTGCCCTCTTTCTGCCTTTTTGAGACACAACTTCCACACTACAAGTCCTCCTAATCTTCACTGCAGACATAAAAACTAAACTTCAAATAGGGTTTAAATTCCAACTCTGACATGATAATCTGGATGAATCTCCTTACCACTGAATCGAGAAAGAGGATGCATTTGAGGAGGTGTTCCCTTGTTTCACAGAATTGACGGAAGAGAAGTCGTCCAATTGGCTGCTTCTCACAGAGGCTGGTGTAGTCCCTTTCTGCAAAGAAGAAAAAGGAAGCTCCATGAGAACAAAATTAATCTTTTTCAGCAGAAATGCCAGTCATTATCATATTTATTCATACATACAGGATAAGTAAAAGAAAACTGAACCTATTTGACAAAAGAATTGTGAGCCAACTTGTGCAAACTATAGCAAAAGTAAAGAAGTTGCTTATTATTATTATACAGTATTTATAAAGCACTGATAGTTTCCTCAGCGCTGTACATTACAAATGGGGACAGAACATGTGACAGAACAACAATACAATGCAAAACATGAGGGGATTGAGGGCCCTGCTATTTCGAGCTTACAATCTAGGAGGGAGGGGATGGGGGCACAGGAGGAGATAGCTGTGGGGGATGGCTTGGTAGGAAGAGTGGAGGAGGTCGGCAAGTTAGCAGGGGGTGGGGTAGGCTTCCCTGAAGAGATGGGTTTTCAGGGTGCGACTAAAGGAGAGTAGAGTAGGTGATAATCTGATGGGTTGGGGCAGGGAGTTCCAGAGGATGGGTGACACCCTGGAGAAGTCCTGGAGGCGGGCATGGGAGGAGGAGACCAGGGAACTAGAGAGAAGGAGGTCTTGTGAGGAGCGGAGTGTGCCTGCTGGGCGGTACTTAGATATTAGGTCAGTGATGTAGCTCGGGGCAGTGTAGTGGATGGCTTTGTATGTCACTGATAGGATTTTGAATTTGATCCGTTGCGCAATCGGAAAGCCAGTGGAGGGATTGGCAGAGGGGGGTGGCGGAAACGGAGCGGTTGGAAAGGTGAATGAGTCTGGCAGCCATATTCAGGATCGACTGAAGCGTGGATACCCAGCGGCGAGGCAGGCCAGTAAGTAGGGAGTTGCAGTAATCGAGTCGTGATATGATGAGGGAGTGGATGAGCTGTTTAGTGGTTTCTGGGGTTAGGAACGTGCAGATGTTGGCGATGATGCCGAGGTGGAGTCTGCACGAGTTTGTTAAAGATTGGACTTGAGATTGGAAGGATAGGTTGGAGTCCAGAATGACACCAAGTACTCTGGCCTGTGGGGCAGGTTTGATGGTGGCGTTGTTGGATGTGATGGAGAAGTCAATGGGGGGTGGTGTCCGGGCTGGGGGGAAGACCAGAAACTCAGTCTTGGAGAGGTTCATTGTAAGGAAGTGGAGCGACATCCAGTCAGATATGTCACTCAGTAGGTGTGATTCGGGCAGAGACTGAGGGGGTGAGGTGGGGGGTGGAGAGATAGATTTGTGTGTCGTCGGCATATAGGTGGTAGTTGAAGCCGTTAGAGTGTATGAGTTGGCCAAGGGAGGAGGTGTAGATGGAGAAGAGAAGGGGCCCGAGGACGGAGCCATGAGGGACCCCAACAGAGAGGGGGAGTGAGGGGGAGGTGGTAGCATTATAGGTAATGCTGAAAGAGCGTTGTGACAGGTAGGATAAGAGCCAGGAGAGAGCAGAATCTCTGAGGCCGAGGGAGTGTAGTTTTTTTGAGGAGGAGGGGGTGGTCGACTGTGTCGAAGGCCGCAGAGAGGTCAAGGAGTAGGAGCACTGAATAGTGGCCATTAGCTTTGGCGGTTAGCAGGTCGTTGGAGAGTTTGAGTAAGGCAGTTTCGGTGGAGTGTAGGGGACGGAAGCCGGACTGTAGGGGGTCGAGGAGGTTGTTTTCATTGAGGTGAGAGCATAGGCGGGTGTAGACTAGGCGCTCGAGGTGTTTGGATGTAAATGGGAGCAGGGAGATGGGTCTGAGGTTGTTTGGGTCATTGGGGTCCAGGGAGGGCTTTTTAAGTATGGGGTGATGTGTGCATGTTTCAGAGGGGATTTACCAGTTTTCTAGAACATTTAGAACAGGGGTCTCCAAACTTTCCAAACCATGGGCCAGTTTACTGTCCTTCATTCTTTTGGGGGGTTGGATTGTGGCAAGTGGGGATAGTTGCATAATGCCTGTTGTCAGCGGGAGGAGTAGTGCCCCATCCTTGCTACCAGCGGCGGGAGGAGTTGTGCCCCATACTTGCTACCAGCGGCGGGAGGAGTTGTGCCCCATCCTTGCTACCAGCGGCGAGAGGAGTTGTGCCCCATCCTTGCTACCAGCGGCGAGAGGAGTTGTGCCCCATCCTTGCTACCAGCGGCGAGAGGAGTTGTGCCCCATCCTTGCTACCAGCGAGAGGAGTTGTGCCCCATCCTTGCTACCAGCGAGAGGAGTTGTGCCCCATCCTTGCTACCAGCGAGAGGAGTTTGTGCCCCATCCTTGCTACCAGCGAGAGGAGTTGTGCCCCATCCTTGCTACCAGCGAGAGGAGTTGTGCCCCATCCTTGCTACCAGCGAGAGGAGTTGTGCCCCATCCTTGCTACCAGCGAGAGGAGTTGTGCCCCATCCTTGCTACCAGCGAGAGGAGTTGTGCCCCATCCTTGCTACCAGCGAGAGGAGTTGTGCCCCATCCTTGCTACCAGCGAGAGGAGTTGTGCCCCATCCTTGCTACCAGCGAGAGGAGTTGTGCCCCATCCTTGCTACCAGCGAGAGGAATAGAGCCCCATCCTTGCCACCAGTGGGAGGAATAGTGCCCAATCCTTGCCATCAGTGGGAGGAATAGTGTCCCATCCTTGCCATCAGTGGGAGAAATAGTGCCCCATCCTTGCCATCAGTGGGAGGAATAGTGCCCCACCTTGCCATCAGTGGGAGGAATAGTGCCCCATCCTTGCTATCAGTGGGAGGAATAGTGCCCCATCCTTGCCATCAGTGGAAAGAATAGTGCCCCATCCTTGCCATCAGTGGGAGGAATAGTGCCCCATCCTTGCCATCAGTGGGAGGAATAGTGCCCCATCCTTGCCATCAGTGGGAGGAATAGTGCCCCATCCTTGCCATCAGTAGGAGGAATAGTGCCCCATTCTTGCCATCAGTGGGAGGAATAGTGCCCCATCCTTGCCATCAGTGGGAGGAATAGTGCCCCATCCTTGCCATCAGTGGGAGGAATAGTGCCCCATTCTTGCCATCAGTGGGAGGAATAGTGCCCCATTCTTGCCATCAGTGGGAGGAATAGTGCTCCATCCTTGCCATCAGTGGGAGGAATAGTGCTCCATCCTTGCCATCAGTGGGAGGAATAGTGCTCCATCCTTGCCATTAGTCAGAGGAATAGTGCCCCCATCCATTATCACGGCACGTTTGGAGCTGGTAACAGGTATCTAACCCAGCAGTGGCTGATAGCTTTCCCTATATTGGGAGGATCTTCAGCTGTTAACACATAGGATTCAACTCCACGGACCTCAGAAACTATCCCTGCATGGGCTACAGGTCGGTTGATGACTATTAGCTGTTACAGTATTGACACAAGCTTTCCACTCTACTATATCTGCATTTTTTGTGGATTTTTACTGAACTGGGTCTTCACCTGACAACCCCGTGTGCTTCAAGTATTCGAAGGCATCTATATATTATGCATATTATGGGCTCCACCAAGCTATTATGTCATCTATATGATACATGTCTACATGACAATCATTGACTGTCTAAATGACCCTTGGGATATTGGGCATACTATGTCATATATTGCCATTTTCCTTCCATCATTAAACCACTCTTGCAATATTGAGGAGATGTATTCTACATAATTTTGCATTATAAGCATAACCCCATATTCTTGATGAGAGATCTGTAATACTTTCATACATTGCTTGATATCTGAGGAACGACTTTCAGCTTTTTACCCTGATACTAGGGATTATACCAATTATTTTTGATGGTTGCATCAAGGATCATGTTTATCTAGATCTATTATTATGCACTTTTCGTGTATGTTTACATGGTTATGTGATTTATACATGAATCCTGTCCTTGGTACTCACCATACCTTCTTGAGCTATCTATATCACCATCTGCTTGTCATTTTCATTGTCTTGTTCAAATTTTGAGACTATTCTATTCATCACAGGTCTACTATTCATTACATCCTTATGGGACTTTTTGCATGCCTAGTGCTGTCCAGGTTGATCTTGCCATTCTGCTCTTGACTTTTTCCCCCTGGGTGGTGGTGAGGTAATTTCTTGTGTAATTTTTGGCTTACCATGCCATACATGTCTTTGTGATATTTGTACTTTTTTAACTGCAAATTAAAATATTTTTGTCTATCATTTTCAAGGCTGCAGTTTGTCCTCATTTGGACCCCCTTTCTGCCTCTGGGTCCTTTACCCCCTGGTCTGTTTTCTTTATTTTCCCATTTATGATTAGGGTCCCGAAGACACCACATACATATATCTATGTGAGTCAGCATTATTTATAACTGGGTCACTATCTTTATTTGGTAATTTCTTACCCTGAGCTTTGGGAATCCTGGTGTGTTCTATTTTTTATTTATAGTGCCCCATCCTTGCCATCAGTGGGAGGAATAGTGTCCCATCCGTGCCATCAGTGGGAAGAATAGTGCCCCATCATTGCTTTCAGTTGGAGGAAGGGGGCCCCATCATTTATACTAGTGGGAGGGAATAGTGTCCCCTCATTGGTGTCATCTTGCGGAATTATGCCCCACCGTTGGTATCACTGGGGGAATGGTTCCTCAAATCAGCGGGAGGTATAGTGATGCAAAGGCCAGATAAAAGGCTAGCAAAGGGCCACATCTGGCCCTCAGGCCACAGTTTGGAAACCACTGATATAGAACATAAAACTGCTTAAAGTTTTTACACAATTGCCCATATATACCATTTTCAAATCTGTCACAGGGCCGACTACTCTCTCCCCATCCCTATGAGACAGCGCTGTATGCCCAAGACAAATTTCAGAGCAGCCGCCAGCACGAGGGACACTTCTCATTCAATATAAGTACCATCCCTGGTGCCAATATAGAAATACATTTTTAATAAGCTTAAGCTTGAAGAAAATCCTGCAAAGATTTTACAATGAGATTTGACCAGAAAGGCTGGCTTTGCCGTCATCACTACCAATCCTGAACAAGACAGTCAG